AGTCATTAGAAAAATACACATCAGTGGGGCCAGCACATGATGTGGCACTTACATCATTAGACTACCACATGGCTGACTGCAGCTCGAGTCCTGGACATGGTAGCTTGAAAATCACGCCAGGTATGTGTGCATGTGTGCCCAAGATCCTAGGAGGAGAATGGAAGAGACGGGATTGTGGCATGGCCATTCCCCATAGGGATAATTTCTCATTTTTCCTCTCACTGTCTCTGTCTCTCTCTCTCTGGCAAGTGCACATGCCCTAAGGCAAAACCTCTTTCTTTAAAAAAAGAAAAATCACATCAAAACTACAGTGAGATTACCACTTCACATCTGCAAGGATGGATATAATTTTTAAAAACAATGGTTAAGTGTTTGCAAGGACGTGGAGAAATTGGAACCCTCCTATGTTGCTGGTGGGAGTGTAAAGTGTTGCAACCACTTTGAAAAATAATTTCACAGTTCCTCACAGGTTAAATATAGCATTGCCATATGACTCAGCAGTTCCACTCCTAGGTACCTACTCAGAAGAATCAAAAGATGTATTCAAAGAAGTACATCATGTTCATAACCACATCATTCATGATAGCCAAAAGGCTCAAATAGCCCAAATGTCCATCAGCAGGTGAATCAACAAATCATGGAATATACATACCACGGAATATAATTCAGCTATAAAAAAGGGAATGAATTACTGTATTTGGTTGATCCTCCAAAACATATCAAGTGAAAGAAGCAATACAAAAGGTCAAGGGCCCAGCAGGTTGTGTGGTAGTTGGGGCACTGGACATTCCCACATAGTCTACCACAATTTGAGTCCCAGACCTGGTGGCTTGCTTTCTCACTTTCCCACTCTCTCTCTCTCTCTCTGTCTCTCTCTGGTCAAATTAAAATAAATGAATGAATAAATAAAATAATCCTTAAAAAAAAAAGTCACATATTGTATGATTCTATTATGTGAAATATCCAGGATAGATAAACCCATGGCAACGAATACAGGTTGGTTGGTTGGTTGCAGAGGCTGGGGGTGGAGGGGTGGTTGGGGAGCACACTGCTTGGTAAGTAAGAGGCTTTACTTTGGAATGATGGTAGTGTTTTAGAAATAAAGCTGGCAGTTGCACATCATCATAAATACACTATCACTGAATTGTCTATTTCAGAATGATTAGTTTTGTGTTATGTGAATTTTATCTCAGTAAATTATTAAGTAAAATGAGATGATGTTCTAGTGGACTCATGCTCTTGTGTGAGGCACCTCCTGAGGTCTGCACAGTGCCCAGTCTGACTGAGGCTCTGGGTGACACATGGTGCTATGTAAGCACAGCTTATATTGGGTTGTTCAGAACATCATGACATATTTTTCTATGCAAAAATGTGTCATGACTTTTCCAATGACCCAATAGGAAGTGTTTCACAACCTGGAAGCTACTAATTGTGAAGGTCTTTAACTGATTAGTAAGGTGTTTTCTCTCAGGTTCATCTTCCTATAGAAAGGTTCAGAGTCTTCTCCCTTTTCTCCAGCTGAGTATAAACAATTGTATTTGTTTCAGATTTTCATTTGCCTGTAAGCACAAAGTTTACCAATTTAAAAAGTTCTATGCCAGATAATGTGCTCTGCACATAAGAGAGAGAAAACACCTCACAATGGGGCCTGTTGATGCTGCAGTCCTTTTTTGTTCAATTCTCATCCCAGGATCCTAGGTACAAGTGCCTGACATGTTTTTCAAGCCAGCAGTGCCAGGACTCAAGCTCTAGTTGGTCATTTGGGGTCCATCTTACTCTGCATGGCACCCAACTACTATGACAGGAGCTACCAACCTTTTCTTAGTGATTATTTTATTTAACTTTATTTACTTATTTTTAATTTGACCAGAGAGGGGCAGAGAGGGAGAAAATGAGAGAGCAATCCACCAGGGCTGTTACTTGAACTGCGGTTGACCATGTGAGAGTCCAGCACCCTTAACCACCACCTAACCTGCTGCCCCCCTTTTTTAATTAGGCTGCCAACTTTTTAAGTATTTTTTTAAAGGGAAATCATATTTCTGATTTTATTTTATCTTTCTAAAAAGGAACTTAAATCATTTTTCCCTCAGTTCTTTGTTTGCAGGGAATTAAATTAAGTCCCAAAAGTGATTCCTATCTCAACAACAGTCTCTCTCTCTCTCTCTCTCTCTCTCTCTCTCTCAGCTATAAGGTGCATGCACTTGCTAGGGCAAGGCTGGAGGGGAAGAAAGTGAGAAAGTGTCCCCCAGGAAGAATGGTGATGCCACAGTCCCTTCTCTGTTTTCTCAGGATTTGGGGCATCCACACACATGTACCTGACATGTTTTTCACACCTCCAGGTTCAGGACTCAAACTGCACAGTTAGCCATGTGGGATTCAGGTGCCTTAACCACCATACCACTGGGTGGCCCCAATGTCTGTCTCTTTCACCATGTCCTGGAGATCAATACCAGTGACATCTCATCTCAGTCTGACATTGTCAAGTCCAGCTAGCAGCCCCCACCTTTTTTTAATGACTTATAAGCTAAGAATATTTTTGAGGTTATAATAGGGTAATTTTAAAACAACATTAAAGAAAATGACATGGCAGGAACCATACAGGCACAAAGACAGTTAGTACTCATCCTTGGGGGAAGTGCTTTCCTGGCCCCTATGTGGTTGCCAAT